ACCGCTAGACAACAACACTCCACATTCTTCACTTCTTATTATTTTCTCAGCTGTCTACATCTCGTCTCCGTCGCCATGTCTAAGCTCAACCCAAACGCCCCCGAGTTTCAACCCAATCGCCCGCCGCAAACCGCCTCACCTCATCCATTCCCACTCCTGCCGCCGGTAATGTTCCATCTTCAGATCTTTCATGGTTTCTACTACAATCCAAATCAGCAGAGAGCGTGGACCCAAGAGAATATTGGTGGGCGATACATACAGAGATCGACGTCCAGGCATCAAGTTATGCCGCTCGAAGTCGATCCGCATGCCACAACTGTCGTGATGAAGAACATTCCTTACGATTGCAAGTAATTACTCCAAATTTCCCACTTTTTCTATTCTCGTTTTGACTTATCTCTTCAATAATTAATGGACAAAGATTTTCTCCAATTTTTTTCCCTCTCGCCTCCAAAATTAGGGATTACGAAATCGGCAGGTCTTGCCTTTTTCGTACCCTAATTAAGTGATAGCCGCCGAAATTGATTAATTGCTTCCAGACGTTTTGATTGCCCTTTTTGCTTAAATCTGTTGCAGGCGCAGCGAAATAATTGATGTTTTGGATGGATTCTGTCTGAAAGAGAACAGCCGCACAAAAAAAGAGGGTTCTTCGCAAAGCCCCGAGGAGGAACCTGAGATTTGTGCATATGATTATGTATATGAGCCCTTCGATTTCAAGTACGTATAGAAATCCTTGTATATCACGATTAATATATAACCTATTTTTATCTCTTGAATTGAATAATTTATAATCTTTGTATCTTGGTGCAGGACCAAAAAGGGAAGAGGCTTCGCCTTCGTTAACTTCACCAACGCCGCGACTGTGAAGAAATTCAGCAGCTTCTTTCAGGGCAAGTTCTGGAGCAATGGCCGTGGAAACAACTGGGAGAGGCCAATCGTGATCGCCAAAGCGAAAGTTCAGGTAATTAATATAAATATAACGATATATAGAGAGAGAGATTAAGCTAGCTGTTTATTGGTCAATTACTGAATGTTTATCTATATATAATTTGTGCAGGGGAAGGAAGCATTGGTGGAGAAGGCATCGCTATCGTTGTACGACTGCGACACTGACGAGTTCCTGCCGGTGACTTTCGATCCGGCGAGGGACGGGTCGGGGAATCTGGTGGAGATGACGGTGGTCGGTAACCGGAGGAGGAGTAGTGGCGGAGGTAGCTCGTCATCATCGGGAACTTGCGCGATCTCCCCCAACTGATAGATACAATTATGGATGGTGAAGCTAGCTGGCCCTAATTAAAGCTAGCTAGGGTTTTTTAGCATTCATTTTCACGACAAATATTTTTTGTATATTACAAGTAATTTTAGGCAACAAATAAAATATAAAAATATTATGAAATTTTAATGGAATGCAAGAAAATATTATACTTATTTTGTCCAAGTCTTTGTTTATCATTTTTGTCAATATCAAAATAATATGTCATTTCTATAAATACATCACTATAAAATTATCTTTATTTTTTTATTATTATTACATAAATTACACTCAGAGGATAAATAGGCCTTTTATTCGTACATTTTACCAATTATCAATATAATATTAATATGTTCTAAATTCTGTTCCCAACATAAATAGAACTGTAATTTTGAAATGAAGAAAGAGTAATTTATCCTTCTATCGTTCTATTATTATTATTATTATTATTGTTATTATTATAGTATAATTTAATTATATATTTCTATATTAAATTATTTATATAGGTCGCAAATGCATTACTTACTACTACTACGACGACATTCTCAATAATTTTGTTATGACTATAAAGTATAGAATACTAACTGATTTTAATTTTAAATAAAAATCAACGTACAATATTCAATTTTAAAAATAATAACAATCAATAAAAATATATTAGTTCATTTTATAAAATATTGTATTAAAATATTATTTGAATTAAAATTCAAATTCAAATAAAAAAGGCAATAAAAAAATCAATAAATAATAGAAAATTTGTTCAAATACCCTGAACCAAACACGGTATTTGTTTTCTCCTTTCAATAGAAATGTTCTAAAAAAAAAGAACGGAACATTTTATGGGTGACAAAAAAGTATTTATTCCCTTAAGATTATATGAGATTATAATATAAACGAATATTTAATTAAATTGATTTTTAAAAGTATATACTTCATCCGTCCTTTATTCATGTATTTGCTTTATGTGATATATAAGTAATTTTAGTAGAAAATTAAGTTACTAAAAAAAGAAAGTAGTTGATACTTGTCATAGGACATACCAAAATAGAAAAAATTGATAGATTATTAAAAAGTTGATTGAATAATATATATTTTAAAAATGATATAGTATTCAATATTGTATTTTATAATTAAATAAAATCATATACAATAAATAAATATTTTTATATTAATTATAAATTAATTTTGTAAAAATAGTAAAATTTAAATGTAAATATATTTGTAAGATATATAAATAAATTATTATAAATGAATTTTCGGTGTGTTTATTTTTTATTTAGAATCAAAATCAATATGTTATTATTCATTTTTAGATGTCTTTTAAATTTATACCTATATAATAGATAATTTTATTTATACATAATTTTATTATTTATAATTTAACAAATAATACCAATTTAGTTTGTCAATACTTTTCTACTTGATCACTACTATTTAGTCACCTCAATTTTTACTTAAATCACTTTGATACAAAATATTTATATGTGCGCGCTAAACTTATATAATTGTTTGAACAAAATATTAAAAGATAATTTTATCCATCCCACATAATTTGTCTCATCCTTCTATTTTGTTTGTCTTTTATAATTTGTCATTTTGTTTTTTGAAAATATAATTGTTACGCATGAAATTTAGAATTAAGGAAAAAAGAAAAATTGGCCTAACAATTGAGATGATCGAGCTAGTCGAGGGGCATTGCGGGGAACTCAAGTAAAGTAGATGCATTTCTAAGGAAATAACGGGTCGGAAGGTCCGCAGGTCGGAAGGTTCATAGCTCGGAAAGTCCGCGAGTCGGAAAGTCCGCAAGTCGGGAGGTCCGCAGGTCGGAAAGTCCGCAGGTCGGAAGGTTCGTAGCTTGGAAGGTCCGTAGATCGGAAAGTCCGCGGGTCGGTTGGTCTATAAGTCGGGAGGTTTGCGGCTGGACCAAACAAACCGGATGGTCTATCAGTCGGAAGGTTTGTGGCTAGACCAACAAGTCGGATGGTCTGTAAGTCGGGAAGTTTGCCGCTGGACCAAACAAGTCGGATGGTCTATCAGTCGGGAGGTTTGCGGCTGGACCAACAAGTCGGATGGTCTGTAAGTCGGGAGGTTTGCGGCTAGACCAAACAAGTCGGGTGGTCTGCAAGTCGGGAGGTTTGCAGTCGGACCAACAAGGCGGAAGATTTGCGGTCGGACCAACAGGGCGGAAGAGTTACGTTCGGGCCAAAAGGACGGAAGGTCCGCGGTCGGTCCAGAGAGTCGAATATTGTTAAGAGTGAGCAAGAATGATACTTCGGTCGGTTGAGGGCACGTGTCAGCAGGAGAAGGGTTAGCAGACGGTTGAAAAAGAGGCATTGTAATCGTTCAGGCTACGGTTTCCGGTACCGTTTCTGAAGAGTATTTAAGGATTAAAATTTGCAACTGCCGATTTATCTTCAATCAACTTCAACAAAAGCAAAGTCAGATTCGGGGATCACTACTTTAAATTTTCAGCATTTTAATTTCCAGTTAATTTTCTTATGTACCGTGTTTAGAGATTCCTAATCTCGGGTACTAATTAATAAAATTTGAGGATATTTACATATCTTTGAATTTTACTTTATATTTGTTGAAAAAATACATCAACAATAATTATACTCTTTAATCAAATTTTAAATACATAATTTATATTTTTTATTTTAAGTAAGTATTTAATCGATTTAATCTTAATCTATAATAATTATTATTAAATCATTATTATTTTTACGAATATATTTCTTAATTATTTACTAAATAAACAACACCTAAAACTCTGTGTCCGAGTTATGGTGGACAAATTAGTTAGGGAGAACAATTCTTAACAATCTATTCATTTTTTTTAGTATTCATTTCCTTTTTTTAAGTAATTGAACTATCTCTCTAACATTACAAATATCCTCTAATTTACAATATATTACACAAATGTTATTATCTTTATATTATACAATATTAATAAAATAAATTTAATCTTTTTATTTTTCTTTCTACTGTATCCTAATATAATACTAATATAAAAGTAAATTTTTTTAAAAAAAATAATAATATGACGATAAAATAAAAATATTTATAAAAAATTATAATTATTAAAAGAATATATGATCCATATATACATTGAGACGGAAGGAAGAGAATGCAACTCATATACAAATTAAAATAAAAATGTCGAAATAATCAACCACTTCTCAAAAATAAAATTAGTAAAATAAAACAAAATAAAATATTTATTTCTCACAACTGTAAGCAAACAAACATTCCCATTATTTTTATAAATTATAAAAGTTTCCCTAATCAAACCACTGAGGCCCACACCACATTTTACCTCTTTCCGTCATTCTTTACTTCTTCCCTCTTCTTCTTTGTTTCTTCTCCTTCTTCCTCGATCGGTGACTGCTGAAAGGTGAGGTTCTTTCTTATATGTATTTTCATAAAATAAATAAATAATGTTGATGAACCGGCTGTTTGATGAACCGGCTGTTCACGGTTCAAGGAATACAGGAACCGTTGTAAAAACCGATTTCAGTTTCGATCGGACAAGTCTAAACATAGAAGGAATGCAGTAATTATTTCATTTGTAATTTTTGAAATATATAAGATTTGTTTGCTTTGTATTTTAATTTTTTATTGTAAATTCTCGATAATTATAATATAATATCTATTGAAGATTTAGATATAACCGTCTCATAGACAAAAATACTCCGCATTCTTCACTTATTATTATCTTCTCCGCTGTCTAGGTCTCGTCTCCGTCGCCATGTCTAAGCTCAACGCCAACGCCCCCGAGTTCCACCCCGCCTCACCGCAGATATACCCACTGCTGCCGCCGCCGTACAATCCCCCGCCGGTAATGTTCCAACCTCCGATCTTTAATGGTTTCAACTACGACGCGAATCAACCGGTCTATATCTACGACGCCACCGCTGCTTTCTTCACGACTTCGCCGACCGAGATTAATTTTGTTGCTGCAAGTTCTTCTCCGGCGCCTCCACCGACGCCGGTGTACACTCCGACCAGTCACGGTCGACATAAGGTGTGGTTTCCAAGGGACGACGGGAGGGGTAATTATGTGCAGAACCGCGCCGGAGAAGCTCGAGGTCCGCCTAACAATGGCGTGGAAGGTTCTGGAAGGAGCCAGAACAATACTCGTGGGCGATACATACAGAGACCGAAGTCCAGGCATGAAGTTATGCCTCTCGAACTCGACCCGAATGCGACGACTGTCATGATCAAGAACATCCCCTACGATTGCACGTAATTAGTCCAAACTTTCTCACTTTTTCTAGTTCGTTTTGACTTGTCTCTTCAATAATTAATGAACACAGATTTTCCCCCAATTTCCGTCTGTCTCCAAAATTAGGGTTTACGAAAACGACAGGGTTTTGCCTTTTTCGTACCCTAATTAACTGATAGCCGCCGAAATTGAATTGCTTCCAGACGTTCTAATTGCTAAAATCGTTTAAATCTTTGGCAGGCGCAGCGAATTAATTGATGTTTTGGATGGATTCTGTCTGAAAGAGAACACCCCCGCCAAAAACGAGGGTTCTTCGCAAAGCCCTCAGGAGGAGGAACCTGTGATTTGTGCATATGATTTTGCATATCAGCCTTTCGATTTTAAGTACGTATAGAAATCCTTGTATATCACGATGAATATATAACCTAATCTTATCTCTTGAATTGAATATTTTATAATCTTTGCTTCTTGGTGCAGGACCAAAAAGGGAAGAGGGTTCGCCTTCGTGAACTTCACCAACGCCGCGACTGTGAAGAAATTCAGCAGCTCCTTTCAGGGCACCTTATGGGAGAATGGCAACGGCAACGGCAATGGAAAGAACTGGGAGAGGCCAATCGAGATCGTCAAAGCGAAAATTCAGGTAATATAAATACAACAATATATATATATATATAGATTCAGCTAACAGCTTATTGGTCAATTACTGAATGTTTATCTATGATTTTTGCAGGGGAGGGAAGCATTTGTGGAGAAGGCGCTGCTATCGTTGTACGACTGCGATTCCGACGAATTCCTGCCGGTGACGTTCGAGCCGGCGAGGGACGGGTCGGGGAATCCGGTGGAGATGACGGTGGTGGGGAACCGGAGGGGCAGCAGGAGGAGTGGCGTAGGTAATTCGTCATCGTCGGGGAACTAGCGGGATCTCCATAATTGAGAAATAGATACAATTATGGATGATAAGCTAGCTAGCTAGCTAGCACTAAAGCTAGGGTTTCTGAGCATTCATTGCGCACGTTTGGTTGGGTTTCTGCAATCATTACTTATTATTAGTATATATACATATATATTTTCTTTCTGGTTTGGTATTTCTGAGTTTTGCCAAATATTGGTATAACTCGTAGATACCAAATACAGACATACACACGGGGGATGGTGTATGTTTTTAGGGTTTATGGGAATCGTTGTAATTAATTTCGAGTTTTTTTCTGTTTTTCTTGTAAATTTCGTCTGTTGGTCAATATGTATCAAAAATAATGCAACGAAGTAGTATATATTTTTAAATCGGGTCTTTTTCCGTTATTCAATTATTTATTTTTTTTATTATCGATATGTTGTGATATTTATATTCACGAAGGGTGTGTTGGTTTGTAGAATTTTGTCAAATTTTATTATTCATTCTCTAATTTTTTATTTTCTTTTAAATTAAAATTATCAAATCTAAACTTTCCAAAAATTACCTAAAAACAATTCATCATATTATATCATTTATTCACATATAATTTTTAAAATGTATATAGTTAGGGTGTGTTTGTTTGGATTTTGAGTTAGATTTGAATAGTAAAAATTTTAAATTTGAATAGTTGTACGATGTGATATAAATAGGTGTTGATGTGATGTTTTGAATATAAAATTGATTTTCAGTATAATATAAAAAAAAATAAGTGTTTAATTTGATATTTTTGGGAAAAAAAATAAGATAAATAATATATTTAAAATTCAATCTTCCAAACAAACGGACCCTTAGTATCAAACATTTATTTTTATATAAAATATTATTTATAATATGCTCCCTCCATCCATCTAAAAAGTATACATATTTTTATTTTGGGACGTCCAATTACAAAGTAAATATTTTATTAAATACCTCTTTTTTTTATAAATACTTATATTTTACATCGTATCATTACTTTTACACAAAAAAAATAAGAATAAAAATATTATTACACTATTTTTAACTATCTATTATAATTAAAATATTATTATTTTTTAATCACTACGAAAAAATAATTGTATATTTTATGCGTTAGACAGAGAAAATATATTTTTTCAATCACATACAAGCTAAAAATAAAAATGGTCAATAAACTGAAAGGAAACAAAACACTCAAAAAGAAAAATTTGTGTCGAGTCATATAAAATATATATCGAAATAAATGAATTTCCACTATGTAAAAATAAAATAAAAACTGCAAAGCGTTTTATTAATTTATCTTAAAAACTTAACATTAATACTACGTCGTTTTGTTCCACGATTGCATTTTTGGTGACGACATCCACTGGATTACGATTTACGAAGGCTTAAACTAATCATTCCACTGCAAATGGTAGGTTACGACTTACGAGGACTCAGGCGCAATCATTAAACTGCAAATATTTGCAGACAGCACCCATTTTTATTTCATATTTATTTATTTGCCCGATGACGATGCATCTCCATAAGGCCGCGTTTGGAAACAAAATTTTAAAATTGAAAAACCATGGGGTGTTGCGAGAATCGAACTCGCGACCTCTCGCACCCGAAGCGAGAATCATACCACTAGACCAAACACCCGTTTTTTTTAAAGTTTTATTTATTATAAATTTAAATAAAATTAATTTGATTGTTCTCAAGTAAGCAATTTTGCAGCTTCGGCCGAACACAGGATCAGATCAGTAATGGCCGTGCCGTCCGTACCCCACCAAATACTACGTCGTTTTGTTCCTCGATTCGCCGGTTATCCTCTTCTCTCCTTATCGCCATCGCCACTGCAAGCTCAACGATTCCTTCCATTCCTTCACAGTGCGGCGTTGTCATCCACCTACTCCGGGCGCTTACGTCTAGTCGCTTCTCCTCCGCGCTGCTTCTCGCGGCTTGTGTCGGATGAGGTGGCTTTAATCGAGGATGTGGCGGTCGAATCGGAAATTGAAACCAATGGAGCAGCGGCTGCTGATGAGAAGGAAGGGTTGAGTAGATTGGATTTTGGAGGAAATAGAACGGCTGCGTCGCGACTGCCGAGTCTCAGTGTGAAAGAGAAGAAGGAATTGGCTTCGTACGCGCATAGTTTGGGGAAGAAGCTCAAGTCGCAGCAGGTTGGGAAGTCTGGAGTTACTGACACTGTTGTTATGGCGTTGAGCGAGACGCTTGAGGCTAATGAGCTTCTCAAGGTATCGTTAATTTTTTGCTCGTTTTGGTCCTGGAAGCTGTGCAGTATATGAATTTCTCTTGTTTTCACTTGTGAAAATCTTAATTGGTTTGGGAAATATATTTGCAGAGAATAATTGAAATCCATTTTAGTGTATCTGTTTCTGGAAATTCATGTAATTCCACTCGATAGGAAGATTTTCCTGCTATCATCTAGTCGTACTGTGGAAAAAACTACTAATGTTCTAGCAAAAGCGAATCAAAAGTAGAATCGTGAAAGTAGTACAAACATAATAAAAGAAAACATCAAGTAAATTTCCGCTAATTAGGAAGTCAAAAGATGTAAATTTCTTATTCTTCCAACCAAAATTACTGTTACACTCCTCTCATGATGCTGTAAATATGTCACCTGCTACTTTTTGTTCTTAGTTGCATCAAAGGTAGATAGGAGTACAATTAAGGTTGTTGGATTCCATAGTTAGGGTAGATTCTGCTTATTATATTGATCATTGAAACATTGAGACAAACAATTAGTTTTGCATCTCATTTATAGTGGAATGTGCTTTTCAATCTCTTCTTTTATTTATTGGTAACTAACTTTGTAATTCATAATCTTGTAAAGTTATGAATTTCTTGTTTGTGTTCTGCCATGCTTGAAATGGTAGCATAGAGCACCGTCGTGTTATTTACATAGAAGATAAATTATTATTTGCTGTCGTGTGTCTTCAGCAACAACAACATTTATGTTTAGATGTCTATAAATTTCATGTAGTTGTTGCCAATTCAGTGCGTGATGTTAATCACATATGTTGATTGCAAACAAAGATATTTCGCTTGTTAGGTACTCACCAGTGATAATCATTTGGTTTTATTTGCATACCGTCGTTGCATTCATGATAAATACAGAGACCAATGTTGAGTTGAATGCATTCGTGATACTCTTTGTTTATCATTTGCAATAAGGAATGACTTCTTTCCGTTCGTTCCCCAACAGCTTCTAGGCATCATTTCGAAATGCTCGGCTCTCTTGAACCTAATTTGCTGTATATTATAATCTCTGTTTAAGTGCTTATTTTTTGATCACGTTCGTTACATGCATTTGTTTATCAGCGGTAGTGTTAGCCCTCTATCGCTATCACTACATACATATTTTATGCTTGTAAGTTCTTTGTTGTAATCAATTTTTGTGTGTTTTTAAACCCGACAGCTCAAAATACACGGTAATTGTCCCGGTGAGTTTGATGATGTGGTGAATCAATTAGAGCAAAGCACCGGCTCAGTAGTAGTTGGCCAAATCGGCAGAACTGTGATCCTTTACCGGCCCAGTCTGTCCAAACTAAAAGCCGCAGAAAAGAGAAAAATTGCTATAAAAGCTCATTCGGAAAGGCGACTGATACGGAAGCAATCTCCCCAGGTCTGATTTCAGCTTTTCCATAACTTTTTTTATTTATTATTCAATGGGTAAACTGCGACGTTCTAAAATGAAAATTTTGAAGTGCCTACATAATGCCTTAGAGTTGCTTTTTTCGCGCAGGTGAGAGATACTAATAGTTAAAATCCTGTGGCATTTATCTTTTACCGATTAATCTTTGAAACTTCTTGCATAGCCATCTACTGAATTAGCGTTAGCCTTTTCGACTTTAATTTGGAACTTCAGGGCAAAACACGAGTATCAGCGTCGGGACAAGAATCCTCACAGCAGCGCGGCCGGGGACGAAGAGGAAGCAGCAGAGTTTAACAACTGTATCGGCATTACTCGACCATTTGACCGTTAACAGGTTTCTTAAGTTATTTACGTTTGAAATGCTGTGATATATGCATGAGAGTTTTGATGCTGAGAGCTTATACAGTGGCCATATTCTAAAAGGCCTCTAAATTACAATATATCCATCTCCAGCTTTTCCATCTATGATACTTCAAAATCTTTCATTATTGTTTCACTGTATAGTGGGTCAAAAAAATGCCTAAAAATCAAAACAAAAATAAAAAAAATAATATTGAATAAACTACAAATTAGATTCGACAAAATAAGTTACATTACAAAATATTAATAGCATGCAAGATTTTAGAGTTACGAGCTTACCCTGACATCATTAGTCCATTCATTTCAAGGGCAAAATATCAATTCTTTCTTACACAGTATCATTAATAATATTTTACACATTAAGTTGGAATAAAAAGATTACTTTAAATTAAAAATACATAATAACTACACTTACTAATTACCTTTTTTATATCATATTACATTTAATTACTCCTATTTAAATAAAGATAAAACTACCTGCCAAAACCCTACTAACCTTCCATCAAGAGTACACAAAATTTGACTACACAAAATTTAAAACACAAAAAAAAATAAGAAAACTACACAAAATTTGACTGTCGGAATAAATAGAGCCATATAAATGTGACAGGTGTGGGTGTTGGACGTATGATTGTGAGGTCATGGGTTCAAATTCCTGAAAATATACATATATGCTAAATTGAAGCAAAAGTAATTCTAATAGTTTATTATTTAACTTTGTAATGAACACTAAATTGAAGCAAAAGTAATTCTAATAGTTTATTATTTAATCTTGTAATGAACACTTAATACATCGTATGTTCAAAAATATGTCACTATGAGTCTTCCACTTTATCACTATAAGTGGAAGATGTATATATGAATTACAACATATTTTTATCTCATTATTGTCATACTATGATAACAAACTAAAAAATGAGAAACAAACACTTCCATTATGAGGAGTGAGGAATACCTATACTCCAAATCTCAAATCTCATTTATAGAGTAAAAGTTTGGTAAATAGAAAAGGCGTTCAATAGAAAATGTACGTCACGATCTTAAGGATCAAAGTCATAACAATCAACACATGAATTAATAGTTGAGGAAAGTACCGTGTTCACACCGGAACACTTACAAACCTTAACAGTTGAATAAGAGAGAAGGACAAACTGAAGGTTTAACAATACAACCAATATATGTAGCAATCCAGTAGTATCGATTGCCTCTTTGGTGCTTTGCTTTTATTCTCGTTCACCAGAATCAGACAGCCTTAAGCCATTCCAAATTGAACCAACAACCTGCGAAAAGAGACGAAGTGATAGAAAACTAGCAAAACAATGTGAGAATAGTCAAGCAAAATGAATGAAGTAGTTCACTGTGCACTGTGTGTGGATGCGAATGAATGAATGAAGTCGAAGATGATGGTGAATAGTGCACTGTGTGTGAGAGGCGAAAGTGTATGGCAGATAAGTGAATATGGATTCGTACCAGGGCACAGCGAGGAAAATGTGAAGTAAGAGTGAAAGTGTGTATTAAAGATATAGATATAGATATATATATATATGTATGGATCAGATTCAGAAATTTGGGCCAAGCCCATCACCTGTGCGGCCTAAGAGGAGTAGCTTGTTAACATACTATCCGAATCTTTCTTAATTTGTTGCATTTTTTGTACAAGTTGGAAACGATCTTGGAAATCCGTCGGAACTCCAGAACTTTAATTAAGATAAACTTCCACGGCGAAGAGCATAGAAGAGTTAACTAACTAATTAATTAAGATAAACTATTTTTTTAGTCAGTAAGTGGAAAAAAATTTTCAATTTAATCCTTAATGGCTATGTACTGTGGCATCTATGCGGATATGTGTCGGCCAGATTAGCTTCACACGTGACTAACCCGTGTCTACCAAGTGGATATATATATATATTAAATTTTCTTCTTTTAATAAAAAATATATCAATAATAAACTTAAATATATAAAAATACAAAATTAAAATTAAAAAATTAAAATTATCTACATGTCCCGTCAAGTCAGCTGTACATGACCGCCACGTGGATAATTTATATTTTTATATTAAAAATAAAAAATAAAAAATAAAATAAAAATGTATACTGATATATAAATTATTAAAGGTCATGTGACGCTGACTTGACGGATATATGGATTTTTTATTTTTTATTTTATGTATTTTAAATTTTATATTTTTATATTTGTAACTTTTTATATTTAAAAAAAAATAAAATAAAAATAAAAACAATCCACGTGGCGGATACGTGTCAGCCACGTGGCGCTGACCTGGCTGTCACGTGTCCGTCGGTATGCCACGTAGACATTGAGGACTAAATTACAAATTTTTTTTACTTACGAGACAAAAATGATAAAAAAATCCAGTTACGGCACTTAGCCGTTAATTAATGATGCTAATTCATTTTTTCAGATTGGCATAAAATCTTGCAAATCTGCTATGTTCTTGTTTGTTCCATTAATTTTACTTGACCTTGAGCATAATGATAAAATAATAATCCTCGCTATGAAAATGGTGTCTTTTTTTATTGTTCCAATTTTAATGTGTCATTTTATTCAATACCTAATAAATACTGAAACTATAGACTTTTTTTTAAGAAAATAATATATTGTTTAATTTTTCATTAATGTGTAAAGAATAGGATGCTGAATCATTAAAACTTAATTAGCTTAATTTATATAATTAGTTAAAAATAATTAATATAATTATATATCATTAATTTTTAGTTATCTAGGTTTGTTAGGCCTTGCTTCCGCGAGCCCTACTATTTCAGGAGCAGGGCCAATGCATTTTATTACTGCTCCTAATTGGATGTTGAATTTAAAATTTTAATTTAACTACAAATTAATGATATATAATTATATTATTCCCTCGTCCAATTGAAAAGGTTACTATTTTTTAATTTAGTAATTGTATTATATTACATAAATGTCATTATTTTTATATTACACCGTATTAATAGAGGTATTTTTGTCTTTTATACTACAATATAATATAATACTAATATTAAAAAATCTACGTGCAAAAAGCAAACGCCACCCTTTCAACGGAACAGGGGAGTAATATTTTTAATTAATTAATCTAATTAATTTTTAATGATTCAGTATTGGTGTTGAACATCCTATCTCATCAGTTTAATTTTATTATTATTCGTAACTTATTATTTATAAAATATCGTATTTAAATTATTATTAAAATAAAACTGAAAGAAATAATTATATAATATAAATAAGTATTTTTTATTTTTTAATTTAAGAAGGCATACAACACAATAATGTGCTATATATAAAAGAAGGTGATGTACAGTTTAGGTATTATATTGTACTGTGTATATAAGTTTAATGTATTGAAAATCAATACTACATTGTGTTGCATATATTACCACGTGTTGTATATTGCATTATTATTTATTTGTTTATATTTTGATATATTTATGTTAATTCGGTCAAATCAACATCGTATTGCATAAACAAAGCTTATTGATACACTTATCCGTACAAATATAAAAAATACTTTAAAATAAAAATAAAAAACAAACCCACCCTATATTGTTTTTTTTATTTAATATGTATACAATCCAAAAAAATAATATTTTTGTAACAAAATTTTTTATTCTTAATTACATTTTTTTTTTCTTTTGCTAATGACATTAGAACAAAACTAGGGACATAATTCATTATATTTCATCTCTAAAGTTCTCGTAGTTAATGTCATATATCTTTAATTTTTGTTATAAATATATTATATTTTTGTAATGATATACTTCTTTGGTCTCACATATCATGTCACACTTTTCACTTTCGTGCGTCTCATATATTATGTCATTTTTCGTTTTTGGAAAAGTATTTTACATTTTAATCATATTTTAAATTTAATAATTTATAATTTTTTAAAATTTTTTTTAAACTAATTAATTATTTTAATTTTAAGTTATAATTATTTGTATTATATTATAATTAATTTTACTAATATATTATTAGTTACTTAATAATCATATTTCTCCTAAATTCACTTGTGTAGAGTAAAGTAATTGTGGCATTATATGTGGGACGAATGGAGTATTATTTAAATATTTATCCCTCTGTCTCGACTATCATGTCCATTTTTACCGTAGACGCGGAATTTGTGAAAGGTATAATTAATAAATAAATAAAAATATATTAGTTAAGAATAATTATTATATAATAAAAATAATTATAGATTAAGATAAAAAGATAATTAATTAGTCTAATTAAAATTTAAAATAAAATTAAAGTTTATAATTTTTTTTTCAAAAATAAAAAATGATATGAATGCTACCGGTGTTAAGAGAAGGAGAATGCCATTAGTTCAAAAAAATCATAGTCTCGTAACCGGCTATGGGTTCAAATTCCCGACACTTTAGGTCAATCTGCCACACATGATTTGACTGTTGAGTTTAATTTGCAGGGTATTAGATTCAACCGAAGTTTACTCCATGCGTATTTTCGGTCAGCAGCAGACGGATTCTCACGTAATCCAAAAAAAAAAAAAAAAAGAAAAAAGAAAAAACAGAGTCTATAATGCTTCTCAGTTCAGTTCTCACCATTGCCTCTTTCTGAAGGCTACGGCGGCAATAAATACATGCCGCCGATTCAGTATATAGAATCTCCAGCTTTGATTGCAATCCTCCATTACCGCTTTCGAAGGTCGCTCTGTTGAAGCTGCGGTGAGTTTTATTTTTTATTTTTTATTATTTCGGTATGGCTCGGATTCACTGAAGAATACTTTGCATTCCAAGTTCCATCCATTTCGTCGTAATTTTTGCGATTGCGAGTACTGTTTGAATCAATCAATATATATACATATAGGTAATGAATTAATGATATGTTAGGCGTGTAACAGAAGAGAAGAGAGTGAAATGTGGAGTTTGCGGAGGATTTGGAATCATCCTGATGATTTGTATCCGATGGTTAAGCTGAAGCGTGGCCGCGCGTGATTGCACGTAAAGGCGACTTCTGTAAATACGTGGGATATAGTTTGCCAGGGAGATAAATACAGACAAAAGTGATAATAAGGTATAACTATGAAATATTTTTTGCAATTTACTCCAGTAAACATGATCTATATTTATGCA